GGTCCCTCTGGAGTTTTTATCTGTCAAACTTGTCCACACTGAGCCTCCAGCAATTTGTCAACTGTGGTTCAGGTTTGCCTACCCTGGCACTGGTCCGCTCTGGTTTCTGCCCATGGGTTTCTGTTCTGGTAAGTTGTAATTCTCTGTGACTAATTATGTTGATGTCTCTACAGCTTTGGGTGCAGCAGTTTTCCCTGTGACCTAACTTCTCTGATGGATCTAAGAAGAGTTGTTGATTTTCAGTTTGTTCAGCCTTTTACTTGTTGTTAGGACAGGGTGGTGACTTACAAACTTCCTACATGTGGGATGGGAAACTTTCCCTTCTATTTTTAGTTTGCTGAAAAGTATTTTTATCATGAAAGGATGTTGAATTTCATTAAAGGCTTTTTTCTATAACTGTCGAGATGACCATGTCATTTTCAACCTTTATTCTGTTAATATGTTACGTTACATTGAATGGTATTTTTCTTAACCAACATTGCATTTCTGGGATAAATTCCACTCCATCTTGATGTCTTGATGTCTTATCTGTTTTATATATTTCTTGGTTGATTTGCATCTTTCTTTATGAGACCTATTAGTCTATAGCAGGGATCAGCAAATTTTTTCTGTAGAGTCAAGTAGTAAATACAGGGTGGGACAAAAGTAGGTTTACATTGTGAGTATGTGAAACACAGTTTATTCTTGTATTATTATTTATTAACTATTGTATTATTTTCCATACAAACAACTGTAAACCTACTATTGCCCCACCCTGTACTTGAAGCTTTGTGGACCATGTGATTTGTGCCTTAACTACTCACGTCTGCAGGAAAGCAGCAATAGACAGTATGTAAATAAAAGGGTGTGGCTGTGTTTTAACAAAACATCGTTTTCATGAACAGATTGCCTGCTGGCTTTAGCCCACAGGCCTTGGTGTGCTGATCCTTTGTCTATGTTTGTTAGGGTTTTTTTTTTTCTCCTTGTAATGTCTTTGTCTGGTTTTGGTATCAGAATAACACTGGCCTCATAAAATTTGCTGGGAAGTATTCCCTTCTATGTCTTCTTAAAGTTTTGGGGGATTAGTATTACCTCATCCTTAATTACTTGCTAGAATTTACTAGTGAAGCCATATGGGTCTGGAATTTTTCCTTGTTGGAAACTTTTAACTATAAAATATAAATTTTGGTAGATATAAGTTCATTCTGATTACCTAGATCTTCCTTTTATTGACATATAATTCATATACCATAATATTTACTTTTTATGTGAACCATTCAATGGCTTTTAGTGTACTCACAAAGCTGTGCAACCATCATCTAATTTCATAAATTTTATTTCACCCAAAGCTCCCATACTCATTAGCAGACACTCCTCAGTCTCCCCTCCTCCCAGTTCCTGGCAACCACTTTATGTCTCTATGGATTTGCTTATAGTGAACATTTCATATAAATGGAATCACATCATATGTGATCTTTTGTGTCTGGCTTCTTTCACTTTGCATAATGGTTTCAAGTTTCATCCATGTTGTAGCATTTATAAGTATTTCGTTTTTTTATTAATGAAGTACTTACTATAGCTGAATATTATTCCATTGTATGGATATACCACATTATATTTATCCGTCCATCAGTTCTGGGTATGAGGTTGTTTCCATTTTTTGGCTACTATGGAAAATGTTGCTATAAAAATTTGTGTACAAGTTTTTGTGTGAACATACTTTTTCATTTCTCTAGGGTACATACATAGGAGAGGAATTTCTCCTCTGGCAACTCTGTGTTTAATTTTTTGAGATACTGCCAAACTGTTTTCCAAAGTGGCTGCACCATATTATATTTCTGCCAGCAATGTATGAAAGTTTCAATTTCTCCACATTCTTGTCAACACTTTTTTATTGTCTTTCTTTTTATTATAGCCATCATAGTGTGGTTTTGATTTTTATTTTCTTAGTGACTAATAATGTTGAACTTCTTTTCATGTGTTTATTGGCCATTTGTATGTATATCTTCTCTAGAGAAATGTCTGTTAAAATCCTTTTCACATTTAAAAAGGAGTTATTTATCTTTTTTATTGTTATGTTGTAAGAGTTGTTTATATATTCTGGAAATTAGTCCCTTATCAGATAAATGATTTGTAAATATCTTCTTCCAATCTGTGGGTAATCTTTCTACTTTCTTGATGGTTCTTTGAAATACAAAAGTTTAAAATTTTGATGAAATTCAATTTATTTACTTTTTCTTTTTTTGCTGCTCGTGTTTTTAGCATCTTATCCAAGACACTATTGCCTAGTCCAAGGTCACAAAGATTTATACCTTTATTTTCTTCTAAGAGTTTTATAGCTTTAGTTCTTACATTTATGTGCATGATTCTTTGAGTTAATTTTTGTATATAGTGAGAGAAATTGTTTTCTTTAATTGATTTTTAAATTGTTCTCTTCTAATGTGTATATAAGTTCATTTAACTGGTTTTTGTATATTTCTCTTGTATTCTACAATCTTGATAAATTTTTTATTTTTATTAGTTGTGTGTGTGCGTATTCCTATAGCAAGGATTTCCTATGTACAAAATACTATCCTCTGCACATAGAGATAGTTATACTTCATCCATTCCAACATAGATGCCTTTATTTTTTCTAGAATGTTCAATACAATGTTGAGTATAAGTGGTGAGAGGGCATATCTTTGAGCTACTCTGGATCTTAGGTGTTAACAGTGTATTTTCATAAATGCCTTTTATCACATTGAGAAAACTTTCTTTTATTTCTAGTTTTTTTATTGTGTTATTATAAAAAAGGCATTAGATGTTGTCAAATGCTTTTTTGAAATTTATTTATATGATTGAGTTATTTCATTGTATCCTTTATTCTATTAACATGGTATATTAACTTAGTTGATTTTTGTATTTCTGGGATAAATCCCATGTGGCCATTCTATAATATCTTTTTTATAGGGATTCATTTTCTAGTATTTTCTTGAGAATTTTTATGTCGGTATTTCTAATGATTGCTTGTCTGTAATTTTATTTTTTTATATTGTCTTGGTCTGGTTTTCATAACAGAGGCCCAGAGAATGAGTTGGGAAATGTTGGGAGATTTTTAAGTTACTTTGATCTTATTACTGATATGTTCAGATTTTCTATTTTTTTATGATTCAGTCTTAGTAGCTATTATGTTTCTAGGAATTTATCCATTTCTTATAGGTAATACAAAATAGTTACATATAATTATTTATTGTATTCTCTTAAGATCCTTTGTGTTTCTGTGGTATTGTTACCAAAGAGAAATTAGGGTTTGGCTGTCCGCCCTCACCCATAGGCAAATTCTGGAGGCAGAGGTTTGGTGAGAAAAGGGAAGAGATCTTTTATTCAAAACCTACACAATCTGGGAGAATGGTAAGCTCCTGCCTCAAAGTCCATCCCTTCCAGAGCACCCAGAAGAAAACTTAGCCACCCCCTGTCAGACCAGTCCAAGGCTGTGCCCAAAGTTCTCCCATTCAAAATTCTGTCTGGGAATTGCAGGTGGCTGCTGCATGATCATCCAAGCAGCTCAGCTTCTTTTGCCTCCATCGTCAGTCCTCAGGCTCCTTCCTGGAGTCTGCATGTGGGGCCAGCACTGCCATGCTGCCGCCACAGCTTCCTGGACCAGGAGCCCAGGGCTGGTGCCAATTGCTGTGGCCATACATGCAGGGGCTCCATTGTGCCAGCTGTGGGACCTGGCACCCACCACTTGGCCACATGGCTTCCAGGGCTAAAGGGAGACTCAGCCGTCCAGCATGATTGCTTGAACCAGCTGTTGAAGCTGTTGACAGTACCTAACTGGGAGTTATATACAGACAGGGGCAGCTTCATGGAAAATGGCTAACGATGAGCTGGGTTTGACTTCCTCACCGCATTTAAAGTGACAGTGGACTATCGTTCACTTCAGAGATCTCCCAGAAGATTGGACAGACACTACAGAGTCAATGGGAACTACACACATCTTGAAGACCTCAATCTCTGGGAAAGACAGAGAAAATGAGTCATACAATAAAGAAGATCCTGGAGAAAATATGCCAGGAAGTGCATTTGAAATGAGACCAGGCACTCAGTATTGCCTTGCTTCTAATTAGGGTAGCAACATAAAGTGAGCTTAAATTAAGCCCTTTTGAAATAGTTTATGGGGGACCCTTCCAAATCTGTTTTAGAAATGTCTCCTTTAGATTTGGAGTGTGAGTCAAAATTAAATATATACAATATTTAGGGCAAACACAAACAATTTTGCACAAGTTTACTCATTGCAGATTCGTTTATCTGTTGAGCCCCTATACCCATTCCAGCCAGGAGACCAAGTCTCACTAAAGACCTGAAAGATTCAAGCCCCCAAGCAGCAGTTAGGTGAGCAATTGGCTCGTCCTTATGATGTCCTGCTGACAATATACTCTTCCCTAAAGCTCATGGGAGTCAAACCTTGGATCCACAACACACAGATAAAGCAGGCACTACCTGAGAAAGACTGGAATCCTGCTGCTGTGATAGATGCTGAAAGGGAAAGCTGGAACTGTACTCCTGAAGGAGATTTAAATTTCTCTTTCAGAAAGGGCTAGTGGCTCCCAAAGCTAAGTTCTTTCCTTTTTCCATTTCCCAGGTGGTGGCTTCCTCGGCAAATTTATTCTGCTGTGGTAAAGGGGAAATGCCACCCAAAGCCTTATTACACAATAAGGATTTAGGAAAGAATAGCATCACAGAGCTGTGTTTAAGAAGTTATGGAATATGTTTGTAAATCTAAGGACTTTTAGCTCTCAGATACAGAGTTAGAGTATGGTCCCCTCCATTGTTAAAAGGACAAAGATTGAAAGTGAATTAGGCTAAAAGTGATTATTTTTGAATGGGTAAGAAGTTTGTGAAGGTTCACATTAATTTGGAAAGAAATTGTATTATTTTAGTAATAGAAGGCACAAGGAATGGAGATGAAATTTCGGTGAGTATTGGAAGGGCAAGGATTTTCATTTTTGTTTTGTATTTTTCTCCCTGCCTGATCCCTCCAGAATTTGGCATTCTTAATGACTGAGTGATGACAAAGTTTCTTTGCATAAATCCAATAAGGTCTGCTTCCAACTGCGGTTTTATTAACTAAGATTTTGACTGGAATGTCATGCCTGAAGGAGACATTTCTGGACTCTGGATGTCACCAGAAATCCTTGAGGAATGGCGATTGACTTTTGAAGCTAACAAAAGCCCACTGGAGAAATAGCCTGGTACCTTGTTTGGTCATGCGGTTCATGGCAGTCTTTCCAGGTAAGGAAAAAAGGTTGCTTTCTTGAAAGATGGCAAGGAAGGAACCTTAAGATACTTTGGGAATCCCAAGGACTTGAGGAATATAAGTAGTGCAGGCAGAGCCATATGGCAGTTGTGGAGCTTGGCTTCTGTGCCCTGAACAGCTTATTAAAACTTACTCTAAAGGTTCCTGTGTAAGTTCCAGCAAAGCTGATTTAAACAACCTATATGATTAATTGCTGTATTTGTTTTTATGAAAATAATAAGGCAAAATTAAAAACAAGATTTAAGGCAGTTCCTTTGATGACAATGCTGGTAATCTTGAGAAAAATTGTATTTTAAGGACAATCACAATGCCCAGTTGTGGATATTGGAATCTAGTGCAGCTAACTGTCCTCAAAGTTTTGTTTTCTCTTGGAAGCTGCACTGGTTTCTGTATATGCTATACAGATTATACCTCAGCACCTGATGCTATCACAAGAGATGTTCAATTTACAGGTAAGAGAAATTGTCAAATTGTCACTGTTTAATATTATTCCAGCAAAGGACTTTCAACTGAACATCTTCTCAAATGACTGTGTTGCAGACTTAGACTGGTTTATGATTTGTGTGAATTAACCTTTGTGTTCTCCCTTCTGTTTTCATAGGGTGTATGCCTTCTAACCTTCTTGGCAAATTTGTAACCTCTAGAACACAGTAAGGATGACAACTTGTCCAGCAATGCCATCTTTTGGACATCACTTACCCCACTTCCTAAGGACAGCCAACTGACCTGGACTTTGCAGGATCCTTCTCCCTCACATAAAGGCCTCCCTTCATTCCTGACCCCTCCTCTTTTTGTTAAAAATCTCTGGACCCAGACATAGGGAGATCTATGACCTTGGCCAACAGGAAGTAGTTACAGAAGAATGAGACCATTGTCCATTTCCCCTTGTAAGATTACAAGGATCCAGAAGTGTTAAAGGAGGGGATTGAGACTGGCATGGTGCCCTGAGTAAGGGAGGGGCCACAGGAAATACCCAAGGCAGTGTGGGCAGAACACAGCTCTGGAGGACGTTGTTGCACTGAGTCTGTGCAAAGCTAGGAAGAGTGATTGACAAAGGGAAAAGTATTCCTACTCCCTTCCAGTCCTGTATGTGTACAGGAGCTGCATGCGTACTGTAAAGGACAACATGGTAGCAGGGAGAGATGCTGTCCTGTCAGTCTAGCCTGGTAAAAGGACAGGACTGGCCAGGGTGCTGGACCCTTCTAGAATGCATGGAAGTTTGGGTTTGGAAATTTAAACAAAGAGAAAGGAGAAATTCTCCTCTTCCTCTTGGACTCACTTCACAGATGTGTATGCTGGGCCTGCAAGACCTTGCTGGTCCTGGAACGTAGCCTGAGGCCCAACAGTGGTGGGGAAAGAAGCTGAGCTGCTTGGATGATTGTGTGGTGGCCATCTGCAACCTCCAAAGAACAGTATTTTTGAGAGGGAGAAGAACTCCGAGCACAGTCTCAGACTGGTCTGGCAAGGGTGGCTGGATTTTTCTCTGGGTGCTCTGGAGGTGATGGACTTTGAGGCAGGAGACTACCATCCTCCCAGATTGTGTAGCTTTTGAATAAAAGACCTCTTTCCTTTTCTCACCAAACCTCTGCCTCCAGAATTTGCCTATGGGTGGCAATGGGCAACTGAACCCCACTTTCTGTTTGGTAACAGTATCAGTTGTAATATCTTCTCTTTCATTTCTGATTTTATTTGTTCAAGTCTTCTTTCTTAGTCAAATTTGTTTATCTTTTCACAGTATGAACTCTTGCTTTCATTGATCTGTCCATTGTTTTTCTGGTCTCTATTTCTTTTATTTCCCCTCTGATCTTTGTTATTTCCTCCTTTTTGCTCATTTTAGTTTTAGTTCTCCTTTTTGTAGCTCTTTGAAGTATAAAGTTAGTTGTTAATTTAATATCTTTCATTTGTCTTAGTGAATGTATTTATTGGTATAAACTTAAGTCTCAGAACTGTTTTTGCTACATTGAAAAAGTGTGCGTATGTTGTGGTACACTTTCATTTATCTCAAGATTTTTTTATTTCTCTTTTGATTTCTTTTTTTTAACCCATTGGTTCAGATGTGTGTTTTAAAATTTCCACATATTTGTTAATTTTTTAGTTTGCCTTCTGTTAGTAATCTCATCTCATATCATTGTGGTTAGAAAAGATACCTACTATGATTTCTGTCTTCTTAAATTTATAATGGCTTGTTTTGTGACTTAACATATGATCTAATTGGGATAGTGTTCCATGTATGTGCACATGAAAAGAATGTATATTCACTGCTCTTGGATGAAATATTCTGTATATGTCTGTTAGGTTTATTTGATATAAATTATAGTTCAAGTCCAGTGTTTTCTTATTTATATTCTGTCTGGATGATTGTTGAAAATGGGATATTGAATTCCCCTACTATTATTGTATTGTTATATATTTCTCCTTTTCAATCTCTTAATATTTGTGTTATATATTTAGGTCCCCTGTTGTTGGATGAATGCATATTTACAATTATTTTATCCTCTTGATGAATTAATCTCTTTATCTCTATGTGAGGACCTTCTTTTATCTCTTTTTACAGTTTTTGACTTAAAATCTATTTTATCTGACATGAATTAGTATAGCTATCCCTGTCTCTTTTGGTTTTCATTGCATGGGATATTTTTATACATCCTTTCACTTTGAGCCTGTGTGTGTTCTTAGAGATAAAGTGAGTCTGTTGTAAACAGCAGCTGGCTCTCTTTTAAAAAAATTATTCAGCCACTCTATATGTTTTGAATGAAGAAATTAATCCATTTATATTTAAAGTAATTAGTAATAAGTAAGGACTTACTATTGTCCTTTTGTTCATTGTTTTCTGGCTGTTTTGTATTTCATTTGTTCTCTTCTTCCTCTCTTGCTGTCTTCCTTTGTGATTTGATGGTTTTCTGTAGTGGTAGTCTTTGATTCCTTTCTCTTCATTCATTTTGTACCTGCTAGAAGTTTTTGCTTTGTGGTTGCCTTGAGGCTTACATAGAACATCTTTTAGTTATAACAGTGTGTTTTAAGCTGATAACTTAATATTTGTCACATAAAAAGCGTAGTTTTTGTATGTTCTACGCTTTTTAGTACAAAACTATGCTTTTTAGTACAAAAACTACGCTTTTTATGTGTATCCATTAACAAATTATTGTAGCTATAGTTATCTTTAAGTCTTTTGTCCTTTTTTTATACTGGAGTTAAAAACAATTTACACACCACCATTATAGCATTAGAGTATTCTAAATATGCCTAGATTCTTATTTTTACCAGTGAGTTTTATATTTTCACATTTTCATGTTACCAGTTAGCATCCCTTTGCTTCAGCTTGAATAATCCCCTTTAGAATTTCTCATAAGCCTGGTTTAGTAATGATGAACTCCCTCACATTTTGTTTATCTGGGAAGATCTTCATCTCTCCTTCATTACTGAAGAACATCATTATCTGGTAAAGTGTTCTTGGTTGGTAGGGTTTTCCTTTCAGAATTTAGACCCCACTCTATCCTGGCCTGCAAATTTTCTGCTTAGAAATTCAATGATAGCTTTATGGGGGTTTCTTGTATGTGATGAGTCTTTTTTTTCCCTTGCAACTCTCAAAATTCTCTCTTGGTAATAAATTTATGATAGTTTGATTATAATGTGTCTTATTGAAGCCTTCTTTCGGTTGAACTTATTTGGGTACGTTAGAGCTTCATATACTTAGTTGTCAAAATTTTCCCCCAGATTTAGGATATTTTCAGTTATAATTTTTAAAAAATAATCTTTCTGCCCCCTTTTCCCTCTCTTCTTCTCCTGGGACTTCCATGATGCATATATTCTTTACTTTATAATTATTTTTCCCTTCCTTTTTTTCCTCTGACAGGATAATATCAAATGACATCTTTGAGTCACAGATTCTTTCTTTTGCTTGATCAATTTTGTACTAATGCTCTCGATTGCATTTTCAAATTTCATTCATTGTAATCTTCAGTTCCAGAACTTGAATTTGGTTTTTAAAAAAAACTCCTATATCTTTCTTGAACATCTTGTTTTGTTCATGTATTGTTTTCCTGGTTTTATAGAGTTGTCTCTCTGTGCTCTCTAGCAGCACATTGAGCTTTGCTAAACCAATTATTTTGAATTCTTTGTCAGGCAATTTGATCTCCATACTTAGGAGGGGGTCAGTTACTAAAAAATTGTTTTACTTTTTTGGCATCATGTTTCCCTGATTTTTTGGTGTGTTCCTTGAAGTTTTGCATTATTGTTGTACTCACGTTTGAAGAAGCAGTCACCTCCTCCAGTCTTTATTAACTGGTTTGGGATAGAAATACTTTCAGCAGTCAGCCCTGCTAGGGATTCTGAGACTCTCTCAGATCTTTTATATAGATGTGTCCACGCCACACCTCTCTTTCTCTTTTGGGAGGAAATTCTTAAAATTGTATAACCTTCTATCGATTCCATGAAGCCAGGCTGAAAGCTGAATGCCTCCCTTTTTCCTCTAGGGTGGTGCCCTTAAATGCTCAAGTTTTGTGCTTTGTCTCAATTGCAGAGAATCAGATCAATTTTCTGCATGTGTTTTCAAGCTGTCTGCAAAGGCTTAGACTTGCTGCGCATGAAGGCATGCGCAGGGATCTGGTGACAGGAGGTGAATGAGGTATGCAGTGCATTGAGGGTACCCTTGGACCAGTAAGGAGGGGTGTCTGCAGGTGAGGCATCCCAAACAGCTTATTTATGGGCTTTCTGTTGGTTAGTAGAATCTGCAGCACTTTGCTGAGTTTCAAGTCTTAGTTTCTGTGCTCCCAGCCTCTCCCAACCCCTCAGCTGTACTGACCAACTCAGGGAGGGGTGGGGAGAAAAGAAAGTAGGTCTCTTGGGCGTCCTTTACCTTGGCTGGGGAAGCCAAATGGTGACTCATTGCACTTCCTTTTCCCTATGGGAGAAATTGTGGGCCAGGGCAATTTATCTCTCTTGGCACTGAGCTATGCCACCTTGGGAGAATGGTAACATGGGTAAAGTAAAACTGTTCTCCTTACTCTTTTCAGTGCATAAATTCTCTGATTTTTTTTCCTCTGGTGGTGTGACGGAACTTCTCCACTGGATTCCTGGACTCCCTCAAAGGTTTTTCAGTGATTGTTAAAATTGTTGTACTATGGGGGGATAATAGTAGAAAACTTCTGTTCTACCATCTTGCTGATATCATTCCTCCAACATTAATTTTTCTTCAATATTTAGCGAAACCATCAGTGAAGCCATCTGTTCTTGGACCTTTCTTCATGAATTTCTACTACTACTACTACTACTACTACTACCACACTCTCTTTACTTGTTATAGATCTTTTCAGCTTTCTAATTTATTTTTGAGTCAGTTTTAATAGATTGAGTCTTCCTAGAAATTTGTCCATTTCATCTAGGTTACTACTTTGTTGTGGTACAGTTGTTCATACTATTTGCTTATAGTACTTTTTTACTCTTATAAGTAGTAATATCTCTTTTTCCATTCTCAGTTTTAATAATTGGTGGCTTTGTTGTTGTTTTTTTCAATCTAGCTAAAGATTTGTGAATTTGGGGGATCTTTTCAAAGAGCCAACTTTTGGTTTTATTAATTTTCACTATTGTTTTTTATTTCATTTGTTTTTAATCTTTATTTCTTTACTCAGCTATAAATTTTCCTCTAAACTTCTATTCCTTCTTGTGCTTGTTTTGATAGTATCTTTTTGGAATTTGTCCATTCTGCTTGAGTTATCAAATATATTGGCATGATATTTTCGTAACATTCCTTATATAAGATTTAATGATGTCCTTTCTTTTCTTACTAATATCGGCCATATTTTTTTGTTGTTTAAAGGATCTAACCTGAGTTTTATTAATTGTGGCAAGACATTCTAGGGTAACCCTATGATATTCACCTCCTGGTGTTCCCTCC